TTATTATATTTCGAAAACACCACAGTTTTCATGCAGCTCATACCATATTATTTTGTTGTATTATTTCCGCCACACCTTAAATGCCGGTCCCTGAAAATATTGTCTGATATAAACCGGTCCGTGGGGCAAAAAAGGTTGGGGACCCCTGCTCTAATAGACATAGCGCCCTGAGTAGTCAAACGGAGCGTCATCAACTTAAGACAAGTAAACCTGACTTTTTGGTTATCATAAAAAGCAGGTGGCAAGTGACATTAAGTCAGTTGTTAACTTCGGAGCCGATTTGAACCATCTTGCTAACCAAACCAGCAGCACCCATTGAGGCAGGCAGACAGTCTATCAGAATTCAAGTGGGGGGGACTTGCCGCATGTTGTAATTAAGTGCCATGCACACAAAGATCTTACTGTGTATAAAGTTATGACAATCAAGCCTTTACCTATGATAATCATTTGTGTTTTGTTTTAAATTTGATTTTCATAATTGATCATTGTGTGAAATTTATTGCAGTTTTTTGTTTGTTTTGTTGTTGTTTTTCGTTAAAACTCATCGTCACACTTAACCCCCCTATCAGGCGTACAATAATTCCCTTTCCAAATCCTTTACAATTGTTAATGTGCCTTTTCCAAATCACTTTCTTAAGGCTTCTATTTGGTTGTCGGACCACCTGTTAAATTTATTTCCGCCACACCTTAAATGCCGGTCCCTGAAAATATTGTCTGATATAAACCGGTCCGTGGGGCAAAAAAGGTTGGGGACCCCTGCTCTAATAGACATAGCGCCCTGAGTAGTCAAACGGAGCGTCATCAACTTAAGACAAGTAAACCTGACTTTTTGGTTATCATAAAAAGCAGGTGGCAAGTGACATTAAGTCAGTTGTTAACTTTGGAGCCGATTTGAACCATCTTGCTAACCAAACCAGCAGCACCCATTGAGGCAGGCAGACAGTCTATCAGAATTCAAGTGGGGGGGACTTGCCGCATGTTGTAATTAAGTGCCATGCACACAAAGATCTTACTGTGTATAAAGTTATGACAATCAAGCCTTTACCTATGATAATCATTTGTGTTTTGTTTTAAATTTGATTTTCATAATTGATCATTGTGTGAAATTTATTGCAGTTTTTTGTTTGTTTTGTTGTTGTTTTTCGTTAAAACTCATCGTCACACTTAACCCCCCTATCAGGCGTACAATAATTCCCTTTCCAAATCCTTTACAATTGTTAATGTGCCTTTTCCAAATCACTTTCTTAAGGCTTCTATTGGTTGTCGGACCACCTGTTAAATTTTTTTTTTTTTTAAATCTACACAATTTGCACGTGTGTGTGGACATCATACGTATGCTCAATGTTATAAATATTGTCCTTTTTCGATATGTCCTACTCCTTTCCATACAAATACTAAATATGATCTTTTATGTTGCCCTGTTGTACGTATTATTAATGTGGCAGGTGACATGCGGTGAATCTAAAAATTGGTTTCACACTAATCTACTGCAATATTTGTTGTAACGAATGAATAATAGTAATACTCAGACTTACTGTAATATTTTCTATTAACCTCTACTGGGCCTTGTTTGTGTTTGCATCCGGAGCTCCTTTTGCTGGCAATGCTGCCTAATCACTTTTATAATAAACCTTGGGGATCAAGACACTCATCACACAATAGCATTTTTTCTGCAATAAAAACAAAACATCCTTCGCAAGTTCCCATAAATGGGGGACAGTTGCAAGTTGCTTTGCTTTAACTTTTTTATCCAATTCATCCCAAACCAGCTCGATGGGGTTCCAGTCTGAAGACTGTGCCTATTTTGCAATTTTGCATTATTCGGAAACGTTTTTTTTTTTTTTTTTACCTCTGGCAATTACTCACTGAACTTGAAACGCTTGACATTCAATTAAAAAAAAGGGGAAAACTCGGCATTCTAGAATTTTTGTAATATTGCAGAAATTAATGTTCAATGCCATTACTGTAATATTACTTGGATATCATGAAGTTGTTGACAATAGAAACTAATTTCAGTATTTTATCAATGGGCGAATTAGGAACTTATTTTAACGCCCAAAATACATCGAAATCAAAACAAAAGCTAAACCAATATTTATACAGCCCATTTAATGCAAAAAAAAATATTTTGGTTTTTAAATAAAAGCATAATAATAACGAACTATTCAAGATATCAATCATAACAATATTGTTTTAAATGTAATGTAAAACATTGATACTGTCTTATGGTCTTCCAAAATATTGAAAAACGACAATTATGCTTCTGTATGTGGCTGATAATATAGTATGACGAAAGATTTTAAGTGAGAACACGCTTTCTATCAACGTTTTAGTGCGATAAAAATGACACTTTTAATCATAAGCAGATGAAAAGACAAATGTTTTTTCAAGAAAAAAACGGTGACACGAGGCTCAAGAATGATTGGATTTGTGCAAGCTGTCCCTGTTCCAGGGCAATCAGTAGACTCTCGTAGAACTCTTCAAATTGCACTTACATCCATCGGTTTTGATTGCTCTTTAATCCACCTCTATTGACTGTAATATCAGCAATCACGTTGCTGCAAATGCTGATTGTCATCGCGTGAGCTGTGCACTGCTGTCCTACAATGGCAGTGGAGTAAAGGGGGGCGGGGGAGGAAACGCAGCTGTCTGGGCTGCGAGGCCTTACAACGCCCATTAGCATGAAGCAGATCCGTGTGAGATCTCCTGCTGGCTGAAAGTGATCCCTCGGCCTGGCCGCTGTCCCAGATCGGCGCACTCACTCACACACACACACACACACACACACACACACACACACACACACACACACACACACACACACACACACACACACGCGCGCACACACGCACACACACACATCGCACACGTGCAGAAAAATGTGTAACACACACTTTAAGAAAAACGTCAAAGTGTGAGCGGACAAACATTTGTGAGCTTTACATGAATTCCTTCGCCGCTTTCCAGCTGCTTCACATATTTTGCACACTTTGTGTCTCGGCCACTTTGTCTCTCGACGTGGAGCCGGAGCCAGCAGGTAGAGGTGCTTGATGAATGCCTCGTTAAATCAGCCTGTGGCTCTCAGCATGCGCATAACACACTGGCTGACTGTATGTGCTTGTGTGTGGCCGTGTGTGTGTGTGTGTGTGTGTGTGTGTGTGTGTGTGTGTGTGTGTGTGTGTGTGTGTGTGTGTGTGTGTGTGTGTCTGTCTGTCTCTCTCTGGTGTGTTTATGTGCAGCTTGACGGAAAGGGCCCAGCTCCTGAAAAACGTCTTCAAGAAGAGCACTGTGAGTCTGTACCGTTCGGAGTCCATGCAGCAGAACCTGCTACGTGAGTTACTCAACATTCTGGTCTTTTTCTGGTATAATTTCCTTTTTCATGGAAAAGTCCAAGTAAAGTGGGCTACACACATAGTTTTTATTTTTATTTTTTAACTCTTAAAATATGAGAGACCCAATTCAAAATGAGGCACGTGTTCTCACTGCTCTGTGTGTGCGGTGTACTCAAGATGACCAACACAGCACACATCAGCATATGCCCCGACAATGTTCCAAACCAGATGGCAGTTGTAGTACCAAGGTTGACCTGTGAGAGGCAGCCTTGTACCAAAGGGCATCCAAACTGCCAGAAAATAGTGATAATTGACTTTTTTTGAGGAACGAGACATCACATTGTTTGCTTTGTGTCACGGGCCAAAGTTTAAAAGACAAGTAAGAAAAAAAAAGCCATATTAGTACCGTAATGCTCTTGCATATGAGCAAGGAGAGTTACCATTCACGCTTTGTGTCTGCCTCAATTTCCGGAATTAAACAAAAAAAAAAAAAACAAGCGTGTGTGTGTGTGTGTGCGCGCGCGCGTGCGTGTGTGTGTGTGATAGAAAAACAAATTGTACAAAAACTAGTATGAATGCAGTTTTCATCCTGTATTGTGCTCTTTATATTTAAAAATACATCACAACAAACAATGAAACGAAAGAGACAAGACTTCACCTTTGGTATTCAGTAGTTGGTTTTACATTACTACCACTCGTCTTCCACCTCGTTTTAGTTTTTACATGTCAGCAAAACTCGGGTATCACGTTGGCAGGCGTGGGTTTGATTTTCTTTCTTTGGTGTGTTGTCTCCTCTGTTTGATCATTTTGTTTCTGTTTGTCTCATAGGTGGGGATGAGGCACTTGTTGTGTGATTGTTTTGAGTACTCAGACCTCACCTTTTAAAGCCTCCGTCCCCCGCTTTCATAGCTCCTCAAAAAAACAAATAGTTGTTCCTCCTCCCATCTTTTTTTTTCTCTGCTTATTTTTCCTTCCCCCTCGTTTGACTGCTGTGTCCTCAATTAGCAAGAGCGCGGCAATTTGTAAAATGATGAAATGTTGCGTTGTTATCCTTCCCACCCCTGCCCCACAATGCACTCGCCACAGCACACTCCTTTGAGTTGGCCTGCAGGTACTGAGCGGCTCTTTGGACATGCGAAGGTGAGACTGTTAGGAACCATTAGCTTAGATGACACTTAGTTATTTTGGTATGCCTTTAAAATTTTCTTAAGGAGTATATATACTCTTTGTTTATCACCGTAAATTTCATCAGGGCAGCCACTCAGTTCAGATTTATGTGCGAATGCTAAATCCAAGCCTTTTTTTTTTTTTTGGTTACCATGAGCATGACTCAGCTCAAAATTCTCACACACTGCCCCAAAATCCAAAACACAAACACTCCAATTGTTTGTAAGTGTGCTCAAACATATTTTGTGGGTGTAATTAATAATCTGTTGTGTTGCAATACTCTTTTTATCTTGGATGATGTGAGTTTGGCCAAGAGCTGATAGCGTCTCGTCAGCTTCAAATTAAGCAGCTCGACTGTCGTCTTCTCATGAAAATCATCTGAAGGCTTCTTGTTAATGGAGTTATTTTTAGTGTGTGTCAAAATTAAATACATAAAGAGTCAAGTTTTCTCCGGTTACTCCTGTTTTTCCCTGCATTTAAAAAAATGCATTTTAGGTTAATTGAAGACTAAACATTGTTCTTGGGTTTGAATGTGAATAATTGTCTGTGTGTGCCCTGCGATTTAATGGCAACCATTCAAGGGTGTTTCCAGTCTTTTGCCTTTAAGTCAGCTGTGATAGCGTGCAGCTCACCTGCGAGTCTCAAAGAGGACTCTAAATGTCTGGAAAATGGATAAAAGTATTTATTTCATTGACTTCATATTCATTTCATTTTGGCACAAGAGAAAAAAAACATTCATGCTTGTTTGTTTTGTCGTTTAAAGTCATTATCGTAACTTCCTTCAATGTTTAACTCATTTTATTCCGTTTGGCAGATGGCTACGCCTTTTCCCAAGATGAGAACGGAGTGGTGTCGCAGTCGGAGGTGATCCGAGCGTACGACACCACCAAGCAGAGGACCAGAGAGTGGTGAGCGACGGCCGTTCCGAAGCAGGAAGAGCTCTTCGCACTTTCTTCTTTTTGGGAATTTTTAGTACTCTGAACATGACCGCCTACAGACAAGAATGGAATCATATATTCTTTTGCGAAAGGGAACAAAGGAATTGTGTTCTATTATTGAGCACGGTGCTTTTCTTCGCAAAACTGAGCGGGGCGTCTCTTCACTCTTCAGTTAATGAGAAAATGAAAGCGGTTATTAGCGCGAAACCAAAACGACAAAAATAATTGCAGCCAACTAAAACTGTTTATTGTGAAGTTTAACAATCCACAAAGCCAAGATTTGAAGTGGTGTCAGATTGCCAAAGAGCAGTCGTAAATACAATCTTCCAAGTACTCGTGAATTCGGAAAACACGTCGTGAGCACCACTCTCCTTTTAATGACTTTTTTTTTTTAAAGCAGCAAATGTACCATGTCGTGTGTAAAAGCCTTACATCTGCATCATGCCTTCACAAAACAACTCCTTTTTAGTTCCTCACGTAATGTAGACAGTGTGCCTGCTTTTAGTTTGTGGCCTAGTCGCGTTTCCACCTTTTTGACTCCAAGCCCCTGATGGACGACCGCATTCCACACGTCACATTCACAAAGGTGCCTACGTTTCCATCACGGAGGAACGAGCTCGCGTCACAGATAGCTGTCGAGGCACACACATTGAGGAAAAATAAATAGATAGCTAAAAAAAAAAATGGATATATAGAGAGATAGATAGATACATATTCCAGACAGCGGTGATAGCGTTTCCCTGACAACAGAGATTTGAACCCTTCCGACATAAGTGCCATTAGCTTCAAAGAGAGAGAAATATTAACCCAGGACACCCCACACCAGTATCAAAATAATGTTGTCTCTATAATTATTCTTTTGTGGATTTGTATTTTTATATTTGGAGATGTACGCATTTTGCATTGACTGGCTTTGTAAAACTGATCGTCTGCAACTTTTGTCCACCGCCGGGGACGGAGCGAATGAAGACACTGAGCTTTCTTAAACGTCTCGTTTCTGTAACCTTAATATTGTTACTGCTTGATTTATTTATAACTGGACTTAATACTTCATGTCTGTGCGATGGCTTTCTTCTCCCTATGGGAGATATGACTTTTGACTGTGGTAGTTGGGTGTAAGTGTGTTGGGTTGATGCCTGCATGTGCACGTGGCGTATGAGGTGTGTGAGCGTATGTGTGACCTCCTGTGTTCATTTTTGTGTGCATTGCATGTCTGTCTACTACGCAGGAATATGAAAGCCTCACTGAAAAGAAAAGGAGAGTTATGAGGAACATATATTATTACAATGAAGCCGTACTTGCTGAGTGAAATAAGTCAGAATGTTGCAAAAATTCAGCAACTTCAGTCCTGCAGCGGCTTAGAATGCGCGCTAGTCTGTCACGAATGTATTGCACGAGTAAAGTCGTACAAAGTAATTTCGGCACATATTAATATGGAAAAACACCTCGAGGCCATCAATATGAAGAATGCCACGGTAAGTTAGCATGACGACATCTTGCGCTGCGCAAACTGGTTCATTGCGCGCCGTTGAACCCTTCTAAACCTTCACATGCGAGGAATGTCGCGAACCGAGGACCCCCTCAAAAGTACAAAGTGGTATCGTTTATGAGCGAAAAGTAAGTCGTAACATTACAGAATAAGTGTTCTTCACCCCCCCAAAAAAGTTTAACTTTACAAGAAATTGTCTTATTTTAACAGGAAAACTTCATATTACAAGACTTATTTGCAACTATCCCGAATAAGGTTGTAATGCCAAGGCAGTGAACTCGTAAAATGATGTAAAAACAGTCCTAACGTCACAGGAATGAAACTGACGAGAATTTACACGGGAGACTTCCAAAATACTTTCTTGTAAAAGTGACTTTTTCCCTGAAGTAATGCTTGCAAAATTAAGATTTTTTTTAGTAAATTTGAACAATCCCCCCCCCCGACCCCCAAAATGACCATATTCTCATACGAAAAATACCAGCTCATAACTTATATGACTTTTTTTCCATAAAATTGGGAAATAACTTTTTTCTTAATTATCGGACTGTCATAAAAATGTGGTCGTTTATATCCATTCATGATTCCAATCGGGTAAATTAGGACTTGAGTCGCATAAAATGCAGACTTAATTTTCATGAGACTGAATTTTTCTTTTCAGTGTGGCCCTAATACTTCATTGTAATCCTTTACGCAAGATGACGAGTTCTTTCCCCTGGAGTGTTTCTGAAGTACAAATGTTTGTTTGTCTACATATAAATGTGCGTGTTGATGCTAGCCTATACGTCGTCCACGTGCACGAGCTCAGCTTTAGCTCCAATGTTCTCTCGTGTGCTGATGCATGGCCCGTGTGGATGGGATTGTTTGCGTGTATTGTTGACTTTTTGATGTGTGCGAGATCCCGACGCTCCACGGGCTTCGACCGAAAGTGTCACACGATGCACTCTCGATGTAACTTTTTTCCCCCGTCACGGTTACTGTCCCTTTTTGGGTTCAACGATGTTTGTGACTCGCTTCACCTGAAAGCTTGAATTGCTTTGAAGTTGTCAATTGTACTCTGAATGTGAACGTTGTTGTCTGCGTTTTTTTAATTTTTTTTTTTTTAATCTAAGTTGTGCACTGCATGAGTGGATAACACAAACTTGTACCACTTCACTTTACAAGATGGGGAAAAAAAAACTTGATTTACTTGATTTAACTTTTCTTTATTTTGATGATTGTTGTGCATGTTGGGACTGCAAATGTATAAGTGTTGTCTTTTACAGTCCGCGAAGGACAACTGAAATAAACTTTACATTCATGGAGGAACAACCGCCACCCTTCCATTGTTTTTTTTTGGGGGGGGGTGTTATTGTTATTATGTAAGTGCACTTCGATGGTGACAGAGAGGATATTCAGGAATAAACAGGAAAAGGCGGACGGACTCTCCGGTGGTTGGAGATGGCCCCAAATATTTCCGTTACACCGATAAACATGGATATACTGTTTCAAAGTCCACTGCAGTTTTATGTTTTACTAAATGAGTTGAGACTTTTGGCTTTGTTTAAGCATTTTGCACTCTGATGACACTCTTGCCCCATGTGGCCCTGTCTGAGATGATCAAGATGCTTTTCGGTGAGCCATTTGTTCTTGCTAAAGCGGATGAAGGGTGAGGAACGTTTTCCCTATCAGGGGCCATTTCAGTTTTTATAAAGACGAGGGCCAAACCAAATCACTGAAAAAAAAAAAACTATGATGCAACAATCAGACAAATGTTTATTATTTATCATATGAGCATTTGTAAGTTACATGATTTGGGGATCTTCGAACAGTTTTTAGAATTCCACAATCTGGACGTGCTCAAATTCTCTCATAGAGATTGTGCATAGAGGTTTTAAGTAAGGACTGAATTTTTTTTTTAATGATTGTTTGATGAATTACTGACACCAATGTAGCAGGAGTCAACCATTTTTTTATAAAATTTATAATCGGACATGCACATCAAATTCTTTCTGATGATTTTTTTTTTTTGTGCTTTTTCTGAATCTGCCAGTGTTTTGTTTTCTGTAGCACATCTGATTTTCATATTATTATTAATAATAATCTAATGACAATATTATTATATGTAATATAGTCACATATTTAAAAAGATTTTTTTTTCTGAAACGTCATAGCTTACAACACATGGTAAAATTCCTATTGCGCAAGCTTTTATAGGGCCCCATGTGGCCCTGTCTGAGATGATCAAGATGCTTTTCGGTGAGCCATTTGTTCTTGCTAAAGCGGATGAAGGGTGAGGAACGTTTTCCCTATCAGGGGCCATTTCAGTTTTTATAAAGACGAGGGCCAAACCAAATCACTGAAAAAAAAAAAACTATGATGCAACAATCAGACAAATGTTTATTATTTATCATATGAGCATTTGTAAGTTACATGATTTGGGGATCTTCGAACAGTTTTTAGAATTCCACAATCTGGACGTGCTCAAATTCTCTCATAGAGATTGTGCATAGAGGTTTTAAGTAAGGACTGAATTTTTTTTTTAATGATTGTTTGATGAATTACTGACACCAATGTAGCAGGAGTCAACCATTTTTTTATAAAATTTATAATCGGACATGCACATCAAATTCTTTCTGATGATTTTTTTTTTTTTGTGCTTGTTCTGAATCTGCCAGTGTTTTGTTTTCTGTAGCACATCTGATTTTCATATTATTATTAATAATAATCTAATGACAATATTATTATATGTAATATAGTCACATATTTAAAAAGATTTTTTTTTCTGAAACGTCATAGCTTACAACACATGGTAAAATTCCTATTGCGCAAGCTTTTATAGGGCAAACTTAAAAACTAAATTTTAAAAAAATCTCAAAAGTCTGATGTGCTTGAGAAAAAGTTGATTCTTTTTTTTATAATCACTCACTTAGGGACACAGAAAGCTATCTGATTAAAATGTGCTGCTGACCAGTGTAATTTTTGAGCAACAATAGCAACACTTTGAAATAAATCTTTTGATTTTGTGTAAAATATTCACCTTAATTGAATTTGATGGTTGCAGGATGGTGAACGAGTGGTCAGCATTTCTTTCCGACAGTCAAGAGAACTTGGGTTGGATTGCTAATTGTCTCCCCTGTGTGCTTCTGTGAGTATTCTCCCTCATTCCACAACCATGCCGGTTGGGTTGATTGGTGTCATAAAAGACACATTTCAAATCCTTCCGGATTCCTCCGAAGTTCACATCATGGCCATCTTGATGTTGTCCACATCTTCAAAATGGTTGATGACTCCCTTGAGCTTGGGAAAGCGGAAAAGCCTCACACTCTAGCCAGCACGGTGGTCTCCTATGTTCTTCTCGGCCAGCAAGTGTTACATGCTCGGGTCAAACTGAACCTCTCTGCAGGATCTTTTTGCACACGTGCTCGTTGGCTGACAGATCCATATTGAAGGCAAAGACTCATATAGTCTTTGGGGGGGTTGAAAAATATATATTTTGTGACGCCAGTCCTAGAACTTTTTCTGTCACATCTCGTATGTGCACTAAGAGAGACAATTGCAGCCAGGGATCGGCTTTCACTCCTGTGACCCGAATGAGCAGAAATGCTACAGAAAATGGATGAATGCTTGTCATCCTTGTGTGGCGGAATTGAAAGTTTGCAAATTATCCATTCATGCATCCATTTTCCGGTCCGCTTTATCCTCACAAGTGTCGCGGGGCGCACTGGAGCCTATCCTGGCTGTCTTTGGGCAGTAGGCGGGGGACACCCTGAACCGGTTGCCAGCCAATCGCAGGGCACACAGAGACCAACAACCATCCGCGCTCACACTCACACCGACACCTATGGACAATTCGGCGTGTTCAATCAACCTGCCATGCATGTTTTTGGAATGTGGGAGGAAACCGGAGTACCTGAAGAAAACCCACGCAGGCCCGGGGAGAACATGCAAACTCCACACAGGAAGGCCGGAGCCGGGATCGAACCCCGCACCTCTGCGGTCGACGCGCTAACCACTGGGCCACCCACATTATACCCCAAATTCTTAATTTTCCATGTGACACTAATAAGCCCTATTGAGCTAGATTTCAAAAATAAGGGTGGCACCCCAAAATGGGTCCTTTTAACTATGTCACTGGTTCTTGGTTACCAATCAAAAGCACACTTTCTTTTCAAATGGCTTTGTGATTGAGGTCAGTAGTGGGATCAATTTAGGTATATGTTGGTGTTATGACATCTTAACTCATAAACCGCTGTATGATTTGTTCATGGGAACCATTTCGACCAAAACCCTTTTCTCTTTCCAAGTGCTCGATTCACGAGACACAAAGGCATGAGTTTTGAGACAAACCAGAATAGAGATTGGACAAAAATTATTTCCCAGAAAAGCGGAAGCTGTTATAGCAAGGAATAAGACCACATATTAATATCCTGAAGGTGTAATGGTTCCCAATGCTTTTCCTCGCAGGCGATCTCTTCCCATCAAAAGACGAGTCAATGGGTTTAAAAAGGGTCATGGGAAACATATATTTTGCAGTAAATCCAGAACATGATACAGGAGACCAAAATGACAAGAATAAACAAAACCTGACAAGCGGAATGTGACAAATGCTGATGACGGAGGTCGTCATAGCGTGACGTGCCAAAAGCAGACGGCGCTGACTACCGTCTCAGTTTCACAATCCAATAAACCAGCAGGAGTCTTTTTTTTTTTTTTTTTGTCCAGATCCAGTTGCTACCTGTCGATGCAACCTTAGCCGCTTCCACTAAAGGGGCCGTTGCGCTTTTGACGCCGCGAGCCGTGCCATGCTCGTTGAGCACTGACAATGACGAATCTGAGAGCCGCATTCCTTCTGGGAAGTCACACAGGTAGGGAGCCTCCGATGCTCTTGTTTCTTGTGTGGATGACTGAACCGTTCAGCTCATTAAATACAAGGGCTCTCAAACTTTTTAGGTCCAGGGTTGTATTATGTTGAGGGAAAGAGTCTTAATCTTAGGAGAATCGTCGTATTTCTACCAGGATAAATTTGTAATATTAAAGTTAAGCGAAAATGTCCAACTTTCATATTCTGGAAAAGTGCCTTTGAACTCTCCTATTTTTGAGAAAACAAAAGGGAACAGAGCCCTCCCACGAAGAGTAAAAATATGCACCTAACTGATGAATGATGCCACAAAATGGTAGCAAAGAACTACTTTCATATTAAACAGGGCTATGGCCTGGCTCAATGAAGCTACTCTTCTCGCTTCACCGTAGCTCCTTGAAACCACAGTGGTGCTGTCGAAAACTTTGGCACACGGATTCGGTCTGAGTGCAGACAGTGAATTAGTTTTTCATCAAAAAAGGGAATATAGTGGGTTCCTCAAAAATCTGATGGTTGAATTACAAATATGCGGTGGAACGCTGCATATTCTACAAAAGACTTTATTCTTGTAAAACACCTTTTGCTTAGACAAAAAAAACAAAACAAAAAAACAAACCTTCATTCAAGGAATTCAGATTTATCTTATCAGAGCTTTCAATTGTAGGGAGGAGTAATTGGTTTCGCATTTTGTTTTACTGGCATGCCTCTCCCCATGAGTTGGTACTGTACTGCTTTTTTCCTGATCCAGAACCTTTTCTCAAGCACCACATCATCTGCCTTAGTGACCCAGATTATTTGTTTATTGTGAAAATAACAGCCCGAATAAAACCGTCATGGTGTCTATGTACATTATACAACAGAAAAAGTGCATTGGTGGCTCATCCTGATAGGCAGAAGCCTCTCCAAACAAATCCAGTCTGGCAGCAGCACTTGTCAACTCTGGCCAAAGTCTGCGAATCCCTTAGCCGAAGCGAACGCGTCGGGCTGCAGGGGGAAGAAGTACTGCTGCGGGAGGATGAAGGCAGTGCCCTGCGAGGGCTGCTGGAGGGGCAGCTGCGCGTGAGCATGATGCAGGCCCCCCGTCGCTGGGGGGGACGTGTAGGGCGGCGGCAGAGGCGGGGGCAAAGTCTGATGGGTTTGAGTCGGAGTGGAGGCCGGGGTGGAGACGGCGGCCGACACCAGGCAACCGTGCTGCTGTTGCCCCCCGATGGAGAACCTCCGCATGGAGCTGCCGCCCCCCGCCGAGCTGGAGCTGGTGGTGGCCGTGCTGGACTGCCTCGACGGGGTGCGGAGGCTGGGCGGCGCGGCCGTCAGGATCATAGGGATGGTCTCGCCCTGGCAGCTGCGCAGCGAGAAGCGGATGGGCTGTTGGGCGGGCTGCTTGGGCCGCAGGCAGGTGCAGCAGTAGACGGCCACCAGGGAGCCCGCCACCACGAAGGCCACGAACATGCTGCCCACCATGAGGAAAGGCATGTAGACGGGCTCTGAGAACAAAGATGAGGAAACAAGTGCATCAAACGTTTTGAGGACATCCGAGTAAGGCGCTGCGTGTGCTTTGTATATGCGCAAATCCTCCGATTGTAATCAGGCCTTGAACAGACACAAATAACAAAACCTTTGGGGCATTGGGCTTTTGGGTGACATGTCAGGATGAGCATAAAATACACTCGTGTTCCCCCACTATTGCTGGGGATAGGCGGCTTTTATGGTATATGCGGTAGACCAGTGATTCTCAACTGGTGGTTTGGCACCCATGGGTCACAGACAGCTCGTAGAGAAAAAAAAAAAAATCACATGTATTTGTATTCAGATTTTTTTTTCAGAAGAGTACTGAGGAGGCATACCAGGTTCTTACATCCACCATCAAATTTAGGGTAAGTGTTATGAAATGTTCCTAATCACTAGCTACGCTATAAACCAATAATATGCAGCTCAGCTTTTGTCTAGCGGACGTGAATGGTAGCAGATTGCTTTTGGAAGTATGTCAAACTCATTTGAAGTGGCATCTAAGATATATAGAATTGATGGTACCGGTACATGGATTTTCAGAGGCTATTTTTAAACAAACAAACCAAAAAAAAATGGGACCAAATTTGCTGCGAAATGTAAACCTGTCAGTCACAATTCACAATCTTGAGATAATATACTCTGAGTACAGTTGGTTCTCTGAGAGACTGTCATTACTCCATACAGGGATCCCAGTGTAAAACAAGCACTTATAATGTTTTCAGTGAAAAAAAAAAAACAGAAGTTGTCAGTAACAGTGGTAACATAATGCATCTGCCCTCCTGCTTCTGCCCCGAGGGCCCTATTGATCGTCCATTCACGTGTACATCCGTGGTTCGAACGAGTTTGCCGGTCAAAAATGTTTACTCCACATTGGCAGTTGCACGCGTCTGCATTCTTTACACCAGAGAGGGCCGACTTGTGAGGCAAGTCCTCAATCTCGAGACAGTGTCAAGGATGGACTAAAGCTACAGAAAGGAGAAGCATAGCTCAAATCTTGAATCGTAGACATTGAGGTTAGGAAGAACAACCACCACAAGCATTAACTGTCAAGCAGCATTGAATTCAATCTGAGGAGTGTAGAGTTGGCAGCCTGGTGGTGCAGTGGTTAGCGCGTCGACCTCACAGTGCAGAGGTCGTGAGTTCGATCCGTGCCTCCGGCCTCCCTGTGTGGAGTTTGCATGATCTACCCGGGCCTGCGTGGGTTTTCTTCGGGTACTCCGGTTTCCTCCCACATTCCAAAAGCATGCATGGCAGGCTGATTGAACACTCAAAATTGTCCCTAGGTGTGAGTGTGAGCGCGGATGGTTGTTGGTCTCCGTGTGCCCTGCGTTTGGCTGGCAACCGGTTCAGGGTGTCCCTCGCCTACTGCCCGAAGACAGCTGGGATAGGCTCCAGCATGCCCCGAGACCCTTGTGATCATGAAGCGGTTCAGAAAATGGATGGATGGATAGATGGAGTGTACAGTATTCTTATTTAGCGACAGGTTACCGTTTTACACCATTCTTAATGCTTTAAACATCCCTCCGCCCCCGCTAGTCAATGCACATGACTTTATAGAATTTAACTTCTATAAAGAGCTGATGTCTCAACTCTAGTCAATGTCTAGATTCTATCTAGACATTCTTGAAAACACAAACAGATCAAGTTTACACTTCACTGAGGGTGCACACTCATTGGGAGGAAATTACAAGAGTGTTTGTTTATTTTGTTAGGGAATTAAAAAAAAAAAAAAGAAAAAGAAAAGTGGGTGAGCTCACGTTCAGGTCATTCCACACGCTCGCCCGCCCGTGGCTGCTTGATCCGTTTGGGAAATTTGAAACGGATAAAGCTCTCAAGAGGACCACTGTTAACTTCTCACTGGCCACAATGACTTCATGTAATACTTTGAAATGTTTCAAGGGGGCCAGAAGAATGACTTCACAATGGCTGAGCTGTGCCTTGAACCTTCTCTTATGTCATCTCCCCAAAAGGGAATGCAAGTTTTAATGCAACTCTCAGGTTAGTGTCACAACTCAGCCTTAAAAACAATCGCTGCTGAGTGCCTTCAACAGGACTAATGCAGCCTTTTCACCATTAAAACAGCAGGAAAATATAGCAGAGAATAAGCCGCAACCTCATGTGGAGCTAGTCGCCTAAAATCAGACAAATGTTAACACTAAAATGTTTCTTGTTGTGTCTTTCCCTTTCCCGCGGGGCATTTCAAACTGAATTTGTCAATTGAATGACAAGCTTTAAAAACAAGTACTGTATACATCTGAATGGTATTGATTTGGCCACTTTAGACAAACTGCATGTTTTTTTGTGTGTTTTTGTGTGTGTGTGTGTGTGTGTGTGTGTGTGTGTGTGTGTGTGTGTGTCAGTGTGTGTGTGTGTGTGTGTGTGTGTGTGTATGATTAATATATATTAAATTTAGTCATCAAACATATCTGAGAAAATGTCACATGTGGTAAGTATGTGAAACAAAAGAGCTAAAAGATGACATGATTGAATGAGACCCAGCTGTAAATTATGTCCGGGTCCCCTTTAAACATAACATCAATAAGGCAATGCCATTTCCTTTGCCCATCACCGATTTTCGAATTTCATCTGACAACTAAAATGCAGGACATACAAAGTATATTGGACTGAATGCAAACTCCGTGTTGCCTAATGTACCACTTTTGTGCCTTTTGCATGAACTTAAGCCTGAAAATCAGCAACTTATGTGGGGAAACTATGTTGAATGTAGAATGCCAGCAAAGAGAGGGAAATGATTTCTTGGATAAGGCACGTCTTGATGTCATCTCCTAAATGGAATCAGTTGACAACAATTAGATGTTGTTTGTCCGTTGCTGTTTTTGTGGGCCATATCTTCAATTTAAGATGCAAACACACAAGCATTGTTGGGGTGCAAACATAACAACTCAAAATATAGATATGTTTTTTTAAATATGCACTGAAGTCACCTCGAAATTGGAACTGAGGTAACGGACTCGGTTTTGTCATGCGAGTCCAAAAGCGTTTAATGTCTTTTGTATTGTGCCGTTGAGGAAAAGTTGTTTTGGGAAACCTAACTTTAAAACTCCTACAATTAATCACAACAAAATATGAATCCAAAATGAATGTTTTGTAGGTTGAGTATCTGCTAGTTTTAGGCTGCAAAACATCAGGCAAACTTGTCAGGAAAACATAAAAAGTCTGAATATTCTTGAATATGCTAACAAATGTCATCTAAATGAAACTAAAATATGTTGAGGGTTGGTTATTAAATTTAGAAGCCACGTAATAAAAAATGAAAATAGATTCACATGTAGTAAAAGGTGGCACCTCAAAGTGGTCACAAACATCTTTATGTCCTATTATATTCAATTTAGGATAGAAATGAGAGTGATTTAAAAAAAAAAAACCTGTGTCGTACCTTAAAGTGTCACTACCGTTTAGCATTTTTTCATTTGTTTTGTTCAACTTGGGCTGAAAAGCAAGATGGAAGCTTGCTTGAAAAACCATAAAGAAACAACGTTGTTGTGATAACACACAAAAATTAGGTTGAAAACCAACAGGCAATTGAAACAAATCAACGTGTGCTTTTTGTGTTGTCAATGATTCAATTGAGGAGGGAAATCAGGAGCAAAAGAAATGTTCTTGGAAACCTAAACACTTGCATATAATTCTGAAATGTGATCACAATTTGGCAATAATTATTTAAAAGTGACTATTTTGTAAGATTTGAGAACTCCAAATTCTCAGATGCACCAAACAATGTCACATAAAATAGTTTCTGTTAGTCCTTAAATGCTTTGCGTCCTCTTTATGTTTGTCTTCTATTTTGGTCAAATTGAGGAGAAACTTCAACTTCAATTCAGCGTCATTTTGGACTCATATTTGTCTAACTGTTGTTAAATCGTCTTTTTTTTTTTTTTTTTTTTTTAGAATGGAGGTGGGGGACCACTTACGTCAAGATGTGCCTGAAATTCAAGAATGGAGTTCTGTCTTTTGGTGGCATTTTATTTTACTTTTACTTTGAAATAAGTTGACTTCTTGAGTTACAGCCTAAACTGAATAAAACTGAACGGAAAACACAACATGAGGCATTTTGTGTGACTAACTAATGTGACTAGCTAATTCCTCGTTTAGATGATATTAATGACACTTTACAATACTTTCAGCTGCGGTTTTAGGAAATCAAGAGTGAAACTTGTCAAAGTTAATAGCAGGGCTGCACAGTTGATCAAATTTGAATCGCGATCACGATTTTGACTTCCATGAGGTCATCGGTCATTTACAGTCCAAAGTCGGCTCTGCTGCATATTCAAGCAACCACCAGGAGGCGATCACGTGCCCAAGGCTTCATTCAGCTGCCGAAATAACACACGAGATACAAGCATACTCATTCGGTTAGCCCTTGGACAATTTTTATATTCTTGGGTAAATTGTATTTTTTATTTGCATTTATTGTCAAATGACAACCCATTCAGTTCTCACAGAAAATTGTTTTGTGCACTAAAAATGAATAATTGTGACTAATGATTGTCATTACCATGCTGATTAAAAATAATCATTCAGCAAGTTAGCAATATTTTATCGTAGGGCTGGAACAATTTTGAAAACTAATTTAATAGCGATTTTGTTTTTCTCCTCAAGTATTGCAATTGCAATATAATATGTGACTACTTCTAAGTTACTTGTGCGTTTAAAAAAAGCAAGAATTAATCTGTAGAAAAATAAACTATCATAAATCATCTTCATCGACTTCAATCTGAGTTGTTCACTTACTAAAGACTTTGACTTGTCTTTTGAGCGTTCACTACGACAACTTCATTAAATGCTACCAAACAAGTGTGGCATAAACATAGGTCAGGAAGTTATAAGTCTGTTTCCAACAATAATGCAACCAAATCTGTGGCGTTATCACTTCAACGTTTCATCTTTCATGGAACAATGAATGATAAGTAGACATGTGGACTACACTTCTTCAGCACTAAACTATTCTAGTCACTGAAAGTGTAGATGTTTTCAAAATTGCAACCGCTGCAATTTCAAAATTGTGTTCTACCACACTGTCATATCGATGAATTGGATTAATTGCTCATCCCTTCTTTAAAGTCTCACTGCTATTTTGTTTAGTACGTTTTATTTATTTCTTCATTTATTAGAGCTGCACGGTGGGCCTAAAATGGCCGGCGGGCCGTAGGTTTCCCACCCCTGCCTCAACCGACCTGCATGCATGTTGTCAGCCCCTCTGCATTGATACGTACGCGCTGCATACTCGGTGTCGTCGGCGGCCGGACGGTCGTTGGTGCAACTGTCCTGCTCCAGGCGCGCGTCCGCGGCGGCGCAACAGTAGCGCAGCGCGCACGAGCCGCAGCACACGGTGGCGTCGGCCGTGTCGAAGTCCTCCGGACATTGGAAGCCGTCGTGATAGTTGCCGCTGGCGTCCAGCCAGCCGTGACAATACTCCCCTTGCGCGTCTGAGATCCGCACATTCCACGTGAGGTATCCGAGCAAGAGGCAGTTCAGCAGGCGCACCATCCCGGCGAGGCTGCTTGCGGGTGGTGTTGATGATGTTGGAGGTGATGGTGGGCTTCGGAACTCGCCAAACTTTTCATCAAGTCATCTTGAGTCCATCCAAAGCACGTCGAGTCCTCCGCTTAGTCGCGTAAACGATGAATTTGCGTCAATTTGGGAAAAGTTTCGCCGATGTCGATTGTCGCCGTCTGCTTCATCCCTCTTCCTCTAGCGGAGCTCCGCCGCCGAGTGAGCTGGACTGGAGTCGGACTCCGGCGTCCTTCACGGCTCCACGTTTTTGTTGGCTGGGCGTGACGTCATTTCCGAGCGCGCCCAGGGTAAGAACGACGCCCTCAGACGCGCATGTTAAAAGAAAAGATAGTGGAGGAGCTTTTTATTTTTTTAAATCAGGAGAGTCAAAGTTTTATGGCTACAATAAATTTTGAGGGGATTTATATATTGGGGATTTGCAGGGAAAGAATTAGTTCTCGTCATACTTGTTCATTTATTTTTACAGAAATTTTGTTTTTTTCTCAGATTTCAGCCAATTCCAAACATCCATCCAATACAGTATATCAATAATTCATGAAAGATAAGACCTTAAATTAAAGTACTTTTGCTATAATAATTAAAAACAATTTCTTATTAATACAGTATATACATAGTGTATACATCACGTGACCAACACGAAAGAACATCTTAACTCCCTGTGTATGCTGCGATAACTCGGGTAGATAACATGATGGTTTGAACGAAATTTGAGCAAGTTGAGGTTCAAACCATCATGCCATCGAGCCATAGTTATGCTAGTTTGCCTTCTCAGATAATTCGTGAGTGCGAAATGTTTGTTTATGTGTGCCCTGCGATTGGCTGGTAACCAATTCAGGGTGTACCCCACTTGCTGCTTGAAGACTCCATAAGGATTTCCCTCCAGGTGAGATCCTCCTGATACTTTGACAATCCTTGTTGGTGCATATATGCTTGTATCTATATTTATATCACAGCCCCCTCCCCCCCCCCCCCCCACCATTTTGCTGCTGTAGTTTGCAAATTTCTCCATTGTGGGACAATTAAAGGTTTTCTTATCTTATCTTGTTGTCTGTCAAAGCAAGTTCACAAATGTATAGATCAGACATTAGATTGATAATAGCTCAAGCAAGACTCAATGAACATTATCATACCTGTGGGTCACGCTTTTATAAAATTAAAAAAAAATCCTTTGACTTTGGAAAGTAAAAACAAGTGTCCTAATATGACGTTCCATTTTCAACAGCATCTGTCTTGGAATGCGTCCTAGACTTTGACTATGGCGCCCCTTTGTGGTGCTTTCTAACTTTCCTCATGGCTTCCCTTCACCGCCATCCAGCTAAAATAGGGATGCAGATGTAAGGTTCAAATTCTTTTGGATTAATTTAATGATGCGCACAGTGTAATAAAAGAGCTGCGTCCAAAATTCAGACAGCAATAGGCAGCGATGTAAATTTAGTCTGCGTGGATGTGGATTTATGGACTACAAAGAAAGCAAGTCCCGCCTGTCGCCCCCTCCGCCTAGCTCCCTCAGCCACCTCTCCTCCACCCTCCTTCCCTTCCGGACCAGTCTCGACATCGACCTCCCGCCTGGGGATTGGAGAAGCTGCATGTCAGTAAATATTCGAGCCATTACCACACGCCCTCCCTCTGTCCTCCGATAACCGAGCCTGGCATACAGTGACCAACGCCATCCCGAGAGCCTCTGCTTACCTGGACCCACCTGGCTAGAAGGCAGGCATGGAGGAGGAGATGCAGCCCGCCGATGAAGGCCCCTCCGCCGCCAAAATGAGACGCGGTGGTCCCGCCAGGAACCTCCACTGCAAGTCGCGCCCCGACCGCTCCACCTCGGTCAAGTCTTCGCTCTTCACTGACGCTCGACAGCTCACGTTCCGCCCCGGCCAGCATTTCCCTTTCCAGGCGCAGTATCAGCTGAGCCACCGCCAGAGGTTCCCCGGCGAGGCCAGGCCCAGCTGCGGGGTCCCGACATCCACCTCCATGGAGGCAGCGGGTGGCGTCGCTCTCGGTACCCAGCAGCGGCGCGCCATCGTCGGCATAGCAGAATCAACACACTCCGCTGGACGACTCAAGCAAGAATCTCCAGACTGCACTTTTGGGATCACTTCAGGTGCGTTCACAAGTTCAGCATATTTTGCATGTTGATAGCCTTTTGGAATATTGCATTTTATATTCCATTAGAATAATATTAGACTTTTACTTCTCTCAATACAGGTACTCACTTTTTGCAGTGAATGAACACGGCATAATCTCTTAATTGATACCCGCTAGCATCATGTTTTGTTTCATTTCTTCTTGTTAGCTGTGATTGATGTTCAGTTGTAATGAGAGCAGCCATGATTGGATCACCACTGTGCAAAATAACACTGGACTGATTTGCGTGCACGTGCATTCCGTGCGCGCGTGTGTGTGCGTGTGTGTGTGTGTGTGTGTGTGTGTGTGTGTGTGTGCGCGCGCGCGCGTTTATAGGGGTGGATTTTAAATGGGGGTGTCTGTGCCCAAGAAGGATGGGAGTGTGCGTCCAAGGCAGACCAACCCTGAGATGAAAGCACTGAACCAAATTCTTGTTGTCGCGAAATTAAACAGGAGCCATCTCATCTTCTAATCATGTTTTAATCTCTGTATTTGGCAGATCGCTGCTGCTTTAGTGTTGCTTTGAAGCTTTGTTGGAGTAGGTATAATACCAAATCTGCATATAACACGTGTGCCATGCAATAGCCCAAATATTGATAGTACAATAGATTTGTCTGCCAATTAGTTCACATTTTGTGACATTTTATACATAAGAAATTCTGGAAATAAAAATAATCCGTTCTGACATCATGCCTCTCACCTATAGCACTTTTTAAAGACCCTTTAAAGTTAGTTCAAAGATTTTGTTTGTAATGTATTCTACATGTTTGAAGATAATCGCTGACAATGTGCAAAGATAGAAATATTAAGTACTTACCGGTAAATGTGGAGATACAGCATTAATGTCTTGAACCATTTCAAATTTTTTGTTGGGTTTAAAAAACACTGCGCCACACTTTGGAATTGGTCATGAGTCTTCCTCGACCACTAGATACAAACCTGAGCGTATTTGTTTGCATCAGACTATCCAACACAAGTGTGACCTGCAATTAGCTAGCTAGCTCTGCGTACAACCCAAAAATGTATCTTCCCTTCGGATGGTGTGGCCACCTAGGAGTGTCTCGTGGTCTGTCGTGACACGCGTGAGGTGAAAGAGCTAGGGGGTAAAAAAAGAGACTCGACAATCAGCTTGTGAAGGCTTCGGGCCTAGGTGGCTGCATCAGAGTGCCTTATTGTTCGTTGTGAGTGTGTGGAGATCATGCAGAGAATGCGGAAGTCCAACAAAATTGTCCAATGTGCCAGCCATTGGGTGTGTGGGCAGGGGCTTTGCGCCAGTGTGGCCGCTTTAGAGCGCCTTGTTTTCGCGGTGTGGAAAAGCCCTAACACAACCGGCTGAGATGTATTGCTGCCACCGGAGGCTTGAAGTGGTTAATGTTGTTGCTGTGTTTATCCTCTGTCAAAGAAAAAGCAAAAGAGACATGTGGTTCAGAGGTCCCCTGTAAATTTTAACATCTCTGCCAGTGGTTTGGACTTTTCTACTCCAGTAAGGGCGTTTTTTTTTATTTTTTTATTTTTTTTAATTATTATCTTTTTTTTTTAATCAGCAAGCATTTCGATTCCAAAATGTAATGCCTTTGTTGTGTTCAGATATGAAAACCTCCAATGCAGAACTTACTTGGTCAAAACAAAACCAAATATCCTGCAATTGATCAAGACTTAGAACATGCCACTCATCTTCACAGACGATGCGCTTAATGTTCCCTTGATGGCAGGAAATAAACTTGATGAAAAGAGGCACACAATAGCGCCAAATGCAAGCATATAAAAATGGCCATCTCCAAGTATTGTGATTAAAACAAATGGTCCTCATAAATTCTGCACGGCTGAATGTGTTGCTTATCATGACGTTTTATGAGGCTACTCGGCTCGCTGTGCCACAGAAGTGGCGAGGGAAGCAGTAAGGCAGGAGGGAGTAGCGAATGGATGATATCAGCCACATCGCCACTGCTACACAAAGACTGCGCATATTAATAACTGTGACACATCCGTCTCGGGCTTAGAGTCACATCTGAGTGGTTGTGTGTGTATGTAGCGGACGTGCCTGGACTAAAAGTCTGGAATATGATTACTGTTCACTTCCAAAATCAGTTTTAGAAACGCAGTCATAAACATCGGTCAATGAATACCTCGGACAGTGTCGGTCAAAACATTGGCATTGTAATTTTTGCAAAGGCTGAGCGGATTCTGAACATTGACGCGTGAATTTAGAGTATTAACGAGCCTGAGTTTCTATGAATAGTGTTGTTAGTCAGCGTAATGTTAAACAAGAGAAACACAAGGGATGGAGAAACAAAGCTAGTTATCCTTATGTCATGGCTAAAGTACTTACTGGTAGCTGCGGAGAGTACCAACTATCTCTTCGGGCGAAGAGCTTTGGTGAGGGGAATGTCAATTTTACAGATGGCACGTTTGCTCCGCCTACGGTGATGCATGTCAATATTAGTCATAATATTGTTTTTGCATCTGCTTGAGGTGCGGTGTTGATTTTTCTTGCAAAAACGGGTTTCTTTATGTTAAAAGTAGTACATGTTCCAATATAATTTCTGTAACCGCTTTGGCCTCACTTAAAAAAAAAAAATGCTCCGAAGATTTTTGATTCCATTTTAATACAAAAGCCTTGCTTCAAACTCGAATCAGTGGTAGAGAGTCAGACCCTGTTAAAAGTAGGTCATGCAGCTGGCGGGGAACAGGCCTCATACAAGAGCGACTTGTGTCAACTTCTGTTTTTGTGTGTCTCCAGCAGGTGGCAGATGAGTGCTTTCAATTCAGTATAGGCACCTGCTGCACATCTCAATTAGCCACGTATTTAAGGACTGTCAAGCCTTCGTCGGATTATTCTTCGTCTTGCTCATGACTTTGTCACCAAGTGTTGAATTCTCTAGACCACTGGTGTCAAACTCAAGGCCAGGGGCCAGATCTGGCCCGACACGCAGACACGTCGGCCCGCGAAAGCAGAATGATGCACAAATACAAAATCTCACGAAACTGAAGAAACTGTCAGTGGTTTTTGATCTATTTTTACTTATGCTCAAATGTTTTAGAAGACGTGTTGGACCAGATGATTGGATGGGACTAATAATAATAATAATTTAATTTGAAACCGCTTTTCATAGTACTCAGACACTTTACAAGAATTGAGCAACACAGGATAAAAACCAAGACTCAATGTCAACTGGCAGTCTGGCACTACCTTAGGTCCCCGCCTGTTCTGTCCCTGCACCCTCACATCAAGTCTCGCAACTATTTGAACAAATACTGCCAGCTTGAAGTGAAATCTTTTGTGTTGTTTCTTAATTGTTCAGAGAATCGACTCATCTTAGACGCCTTCGCCAAGGAATGCAGTCGAGTCCTCAGCCTCCTCAACAACGGGCGGCTGCTGGAACCCTCGCTGTCCATCCCACCCAGTATCAAGACAGAGGACGGTCCCAGCGCCAGTCATTGCTCCAAGCCCGAGGAGAGCTCCTCCTCCTCATCCACCGAGCCAGAAGAGGAGGCACAACAAAGCCATTTAAACAAACAGCAGACCACTGCTGTTCTGCGCATCTTCACAGACTCACTTCACAACTATTTGCTCTCCGGACAACAGCAACAATCTCGTTTGGTTGGGGGCTTGGAGGAGGAGCAGTGCCACTCAGTGGAGCCCGGGTCAGAGGTCTCGCCCCCAAGACGCACCCTGGTGGGCTGGGGCTCTCCGACGCCGTCCGACTCGTACGGACACCCTTCATCCACGCTGCCAGAGGAAGAGGATGAGGAGAGCTGCTGCCCACGTTGCCTGGAGCTGGAGCAGGAAGTGCTGTCGCTGCAGCAGGAGAACGAGGAGCTCCGCAACAAGCTGGAAACAGTTCCAGGTGCATTCAGAAAAGACCAGTTCTTAACTGCTAGCACTTGTGGACAGAAGCTTTGTAACAGCCGGGAAAGTGTCACTTATTTTTTTTTTTGTTCAAATTGTTTCTGTCTAACGAGGCATGGGCTGATTACCAGTTTGATGGTTTACTGTGGTTTGAAAAAGTCAAACTGTCAATAACCGCTAATAAATAAAACTCGCTCCCTCCTGCCCTCACTCGTGAACAAGACCCCAATTAACTTTTTTCCCCTCCTTTTTGGTGAGCAGAGAGGGGAGGGGTGAGCAGTTGTGCATGGAAAAGGAGGAGGAGGAAGAGGAAAAGGGAGGGAGAAGCCGGAAGAGACACTGCGAACATGGATGCCTGCTCTGTCGATTAATGTATTTTGTCCTAAAATTTAAAAAAAACAAACTTGTGCCAACGGCAACTAATTATCTCGTTGGTCTGTTCTAAATGAGCTCACAAGTGATGCGACACTGTTACTTATTAAGAAGAATTCAAACAAAAGAAGAAAGATAACATTTATTTATGGATTTAAACCACACATGCAACATGTTGCTTCTGTACCAAATATTGTATATTTTGTTTTAAAATAAAATAGATAAACTGATGTTTTTATTTACCCATATATATATATATATTTATTATTATTATTATTTTTATATTATATATTATATATATATTTTTTAAAAAGCCATTTTAGGGCATTTTTGCTCAAGGTTACCATACCGTCAGAATCTACGATCAGCCCATGCCAACCCTGACATCACATGAAAAACATCTGTGTATTCGATACCTTGTTATCTAAAAAAAAATCTAAAATACTGTAGATAGGAGAAGTTTCTAATACAAAACAGGAAAAAAATCACTTAGACTAAGATCACAACCAATTCAAAATTGATGTGATTAGATTTGAGCAGCAGTTTTTTATGCCATACCTCAATGTATGTATTGTGGGAACATTTATGGAAAAATACCTGCTAACAATAACACAGATCTGGTAAATAAATCCGAAAAGGGAAGTTGCTGGTACCAAATATATTGTCACTGTGTTCGTGTTTGTGTTCTCATTGATTGTCATGTCTGCAGTTCCCTGTCAAAATGTTCTTGACTACTTCAAGAATGTTGTTGAGTTTCACAACCAACTGGTGCCGCCGATACCAGAGGAGCCGCTCACTGAGGTGAGGCTCAAATGAAAGCTCAATTGTAGTCCGAGAGCCTGCATGTTTTAATGCTCGTGCGTGTTGAAGTAAAATTGCCTGTTCTATCTTTGTAGGAAGAAGAACAGCAGACGGTCTTTGAGGTTAGTGGTTATTTCTTTGTTTGTTTTTTTATACCATATATTTTATTCATATTCGAAAAAAGTCTGGTATCGTAGTATCTCACTCGGGCCAGACGCCATCTTGAATCAGATGTCAGTAAGTGTCCTTGTATTGACGAAGAATAAAAAAAAAAATTCTTGCTTTGTGTATCTGCAAGGTGTTGAGTTGTTTTTTTCTGTTATGATGTGAGTCAGTGCCAGGAGACAAGGGAAAGAGATGCATGGCTGAATGCACTGTTATGGAAAATAATTATTTTGCAAGCATTAGCATGACATTATTGCTGTTTATTGTGGCCACCTGCTTCTTAACAAAGAACCTTTCACTTGTACATGAGGATTCTCTGTGAAGCTAGAACAAGACAACACAGAAGTACCTCTTTTTTCATTTTTTGCACAGTTCCTGCCTATAGTCACCTCCTATCCACGTCTGCATAAGAATCTTCCCATGTCTAATTTCCTGCACACTCTCTCACAGCCCCTCGATGAGCCGTCAGCCCCTGCATGAGCCGTCACTTTACCGTGGTGGAGGGGTTTGCGTGTCCCAATGATTTTAGGGGCAAAGTTGTCTGAGGCGTTAGGCCCCTGTTAGGGTCACCCAAGGCAAACAGGTTCTAGGTGAGGGACCAGACAATGCACGGCCCAGATAGACCCCTTATGATGATTGACAAATTTGGAACGCAATCTCCCTTGCCTGGATGCGGGTCAGCGGGGTCCTCCTTGGAGCCAGGCCTGGAGGCGGGGCTCGCTGGCGAGCGCCTGGACACTCTTCCATTCTGGTATTGGCCAAGATGAGGGGCGACCACGTGTGTATACTTATCGCCCCCCCGGCTTGGTGACTGTACATTGGGGTTCACCTCAGTGGACAAGAGGGTAGCCGCCCCTTGTTCCCCCCCTTGCCTTTGAGTGGAAGATGGGTCCCGAATGTTGTTTGTGTCTATGCACCAAACTGCAGTTCAGAGTTCCCACCCTTGCTGGAGTCTTTGGAGGGTGTTCTGTTATTAGACTTCTGTGGTCGTCACAGATTGTCCATAACCAACACTATGTTCAAACATAAGGGTGTCCATACGTACACTTGGCACCAGGACACACTAAGCCTCAGTTAAATGACAGATTTTTAGTCGTGGCATCAGATTTGCAGCTGCATGTTTTGGACACACACATTTTTAGTCCATAAGAAAAAAATTGTTTCACTATTCCAATACTTTTGGAGGGGACTGTAAATGATTTTCATTGGCCAGCAACGGTCTCATCATTTGAGCTTTAATGTCAGCTACTTCAAATCATAGGCTCATTTCCTCGGTTAGGAAGGTTATGACCTACTGACACAGCCAAGGATTAAATTCTAACTGATGGACTATCTCATTGTCCATCATCGAGAACTACTGTCATCTTGGGTTTTGGGTTTTTTTTTTGCACTTTTCCAAGATATGACTGAAATGTCACCTGTTGGGAAAATGCCATGTGCCAAATGATGCTCCACATCCTGAAAGGGCTGTTCATATAACGTCCCGTAAAACATTCTCAAAGTGTGAAAATAATTCCTAATCTATCCAGGGAAGCAAGCAGCTGCTGGAGAATTACCCTCTCTTCATCACCAATAAGCAGTGGGACGAGGCGGTCAACTCCTCTAAGAAAGATGGCCGGCGACTGCTGCGCTACCTGATACGCTTCGTCTTCACCACCGACGAACTCAAATTCTCGTGCGGCCTGGGCAAACGGAAGCGTTCGGTCCATTTGAGAGAACCGGGCCTGGAGAGACAGCCACTCAATCCTGTCAAAGTCAGCTGCCTCAGAGGTACCAACCGGCGGTCTGTTCGATCGGGATGATGGTGAAGGAAAGAGAAGATAGACCTTTGCTGCAAATAATGAATGTGCAAAAGTCACGGAGTATACCCTGTCCTAGATGCCCTGTCATAACAGTAGATTTTTGGGACAAGATACGAAACACACAACAGAACTGAATAAATGTTCTTTCTCTTTGCCCAACTGTCTTGGTCAGAGTTCATCCGAATGCACTGTGCCTCCAATCCAGACTGGTGGATGCCCTCCGAAGAGCAGATCAATAAAGTTTTCAGCGACGCTGTTGGACACGCTCGACAAGGCCGCGCCGTGGGGACCTTCATGGGCGGCGGAGGAGGTGCTGGTAGTGTCCTCTACCTGGACGGCTTTGACACACACTTGTCTCAGGATGAGCTCTATTTGAAAGGCTGTCACAATGGCCAGTTGGACTGAAGGAGTCTCACCAAGTGTAGCTACACAGCATCACTCGTCCAAATCACTGACCTTGTTCTGTTACTTTATAACAGGGATGGGGAACCATTTTCCTGTCAGAGACCAAAGTCCTTAAAGGGCCATACTAAATTCATGAAAAATGTGAATGTGACGATCAAAAACATGTTTCCTAATATACCATAAGAGCAAATGTAGGTTAAATGTTTTTTGTTGTTGTTTTTCAAATAACAGTTCCACTAAGGTTGTATTTGTGTGTAGGAGGGCCGGATCATATGGTCTCACATGGGGTGGATTGCCCATGAATCCTGAGTTCCTCACCGCTGCTTGAGACAGACACAACATTCCACATGAGGTTCTAAAAAGATGCAGAAGATGAAGTATTAGCTGCTTTTCAACTAATTTTATAGCCCAACAATAGTTAAATGCAGGTTAGACTCCAAGGGGTTTTGTAACCAGATTTCAGTCTTCCATTTGCTATCTTTTCATTGTTTTGGTTACCATGCAAGAAAGTGGGGCATTACGAAAACCAATCATGACACTCAAACTCCTCCATTTAGCGAAATCTTTTCATTTTTGGGAGGGTGGTTATTAAGCAAAACATTTAATGTCCTTCGGCTGTGATGAAGCACCTTTAATTGTAGCCCTCTTTTGATGTGCGCCCTTAAGAGCTTAGCTGATATAACCTATAGTTTTGTACTTTGCTTCATTTAATCAATACCCATGTCCTGTTTCGGCAGTGTGATGCTGATCATGATTCATCCTCATCAGCTCCTTTTTGGAGTATTTCACCCCAAACTATATTTCTGGGAGCACTATCCAACGGTTACGCTTCGTTTACACCCTGTTTGTCTGAAACGTAATTCAGTGTGGCATTTAGGCCATTTTTTCCCCCCTCCATGCTGTTTTCTCATGGTCTATCATGCTATCCTTGATGGGCTGGGGTGGGGTCGCTGCTGAGTCCGGGAGGCTCAAATGCGCGCTAAGGATGCCTGTATGTTCCCCCGTTGCCCATCAAGTTCTGATGGGGTCCCTCATGTTTCTCAAGTTCAGTCAAACTTTTTTACATTTGTGGCCACGGCAGAGTCAAATGAGGCTCAAGAGTTCGTGTCGGTGCAGGGCCGCACATACTGCCACTCAGTAAGTGTGTAAGAATACAGTACTAGGTTTCTTTATCGATCTCTTGTACCAAAAGAGGCAAAAGAGCCTGTTATTTACTCACACTTTTCACAGTGCACTCAAGTCCTTCACACACTTTTGAGGAGTTGTAGGTAGCTTGTGTGGACACTTTCTATACATACATGTTGGCGGATCATTCTAGAGCCCATGCATCATGTCAGGCTCTAGTGTAGTGGAATGAAACGTGTTGTGTCATGCCAGGACCCGCCATGATCTAACAAGCTTCCTTATACCCTCACTTACTTATAGAACCAAGGCAAAACAGGCCACAACAGGTCGTGGGTTCGTGGGGGGGTGGGTGGGGGTCATACGGTATGCTTCCCATTCCACTACGGACGGCTTCTAAGTTTTGATATTCCCCATTGTGTATTGTGTACTTAGTTGCATTCACACCGGTATACTTTGACTGACGGGGTTTCTCATCCGCACTGTGACTGTCATGGCATTTTTTTTTTTTTGACAATTTAAAAATCTGTACGAGCATCCATGGCATTTATGACCTGTCATGTACGTTAACCATCCCATCTGTGCCTCAGTGTTGTCTCACGATCATCCGGTGTTGTGATTGTGACTTAAAACGTGGCTGCCGTGGTCAGCAGAAAGTGTAAACATAGCCCGAGGGCTCCGTTTTGTTACTTGTACAGCACACATCATCGGTGTGAATGTTGAAATTGAATACATGGGAAACTTAAGTCGAACATCCCTATCAAAGCCCTGAATTGTGATTGGAAATGTAAAGTAAAACAAAACAGAAACCATTTTTTTCAACAAATGCTCTGTTTATTTTTTTTTCTAATGCTCGTATGGTGCTCTCAGGAAGTAATGCATTAATTTTGACATCCACAACGTTAAAGTTTTATGTTCCAATGACATTTGCCTCCCCCAAATGAAGCACAAGAAATCCCTTCATGTGCAGTGTTCACCCACCCTGTGAGAAAAAAAGCAGTTTGGAAAATGGATGGATGGACTTTAATTGTATGGCATTGTGTATTTTATTGGGAATCTCAAATCCAGTGTTTGAATGTACCTAGTCAGTTGCTGTGTAAAGATGTACTGTGATATGATGTACGCATACGTACAAGTATTATTATTATTTTTTAAGACAGGTAGAAAAATGCCACAGGAACCTTAAAAACGTTGCATTACGTCCTTGTGATCTGAATGTCAACATTTAACCATGTTGCTCCTTTTTTCTTTCAGTGGCTTTTTCAAAACACTGTGAAAAGAAACGTTGATTTGATTCTTACAAATCTTATCGTTTCAGTTCCTGGTTTATAATTCATAATAAACACAGAAACTTAACAATCATCCATCTTTGAATTTAGCTTGCGAAAAGCAATCGCGTTAGCTAGCAGGATAGCTCTCAGGCTTGCATGCGTTGATGTCTTTCTTTCCTTGCATTGGAGCTATTTTCATGATATATTTAATATATTCTTATAAATATGTCGCTGCCTGTCAATATAATCATCATATGGAAGGTATATCAAGCTGGCTATATAGGCACACTACAGCCAGGATTTTTCCCTCCTGGGCTAAAGCAGAGCAAGACTGTTACAAAAAGGGGCTGAGAAAATAAAATATCAATATATTTTACAATATCAAATAAATTGCTGGAGTGGCTTGAATGCACAAGTGTCTGATGGGGGTGGAAGCCCTCCTAGGCCAAGGATGTGCCATTCCAGACTACAGTCTACTGCAGCTAATTTTATGTTGTGTATGTAATGTTTATGTATTCTTTTTTTTTGTTCAATTTATATACAGCTTGCTATATGAACATTGTTATTTCGATGTAATTTCATCCATACTACTATCAATTCTGTATTTATAATATATGTAGCTATTTATATTGTCTCTCTGAATGCACCCACACAACTCATAAAAACAGACTGGAAGACCCACAGAAAGGCCAAAACGTGGACGTCCTTGGATATGTATATATAGATATACCAAAGTGATACAAAAGGATAGATATCACCAGGGGCGTCACTAGGTTTGAAGAACAAGGGGGGCTTAGCCCCAAGGGGAACACAGCCCCTTTAGGGGGGTCCGGGGGTATGCCCCCCCGGGAGAATTTTTTTCTACATTCTGTTAAAAATCCATCAATTCCGTGCACTTTGAGAGCAAAATGAAGAGGCTATGAAGAACTACACACATCACATTAGTATCCTCTTTACTATGATGGGGCTTCCTCCCCTGGACTTTAACTGGACTAGATAATAGAAATTATAAAGAGTTCAAAAGTTCAATCTTGGTTGTTCAAGGGAATTAGAAGGATGCCCGATAACATAACCTATATGACAGTAGGCCTATATTCCTCTCTACCAAAATGTATTAATATATGCTTAGCCCCCAGAAGACTATGTATTTTGAGATGTCTGCCGTGATATGCAATTTAAGTTAGTACAATGAGATGCAAAAGCTTCATCACTTTGGAAAAACACAAGTTTGCTGCTCAATACTTACTGTAAGCTCCGATTGCATTTTGGGAACAGCCTTGCAAGTAAAATTAGCCTTGAGATCTTATATACTCACCTGTCCAGCAGAGCTCCCCTTGGCTCACTCTCTGTGCGCCTTTAGCCTGATTCCTATCAAATAAATACATTTATTTATTTTATATTTATTTATTTATTTTATATAGGCCAAAATCTCAATAGGTGTTGCCTCAAAGAGTTGGTGTAATGATTATTTATGTATTTAATTATAAAATGTTGCTTAATTTTTATTAAGCACCACCTTAATTTATCCAAAAGTGAACACTTGTTACAGTGCAGTTTCTGCTGTTACTGGAGATATTTTAGCGGACTATAGTCACTAGTTTTACCAGCATGGATGCATTGAATACTTAATTTACCTTTCTAAAAAACTGTCGAATATCCATGCTGTCGACTCAACCTGACTTTCGGCAATGAACTGTCAGTTGTTGCGTTAGCATTTGATGTGGCGATGGTGATAGACACGTCAAATGCTAACGCAACACTTGTTGCGTTCAGGAAACCTGGGAGATTTAACATTACAATAATGGCAGGTTATCGAAATGTAATTTAAAATGGCCACATTACATTGAATTTGATGCAATATATTAGCAAAAGTACAGGAAAAATAAAATACGTTTTTTTAAATAATGCAATGAAATTATTTAGGGGGGCTAAAGACATTTTTAGGGAGGCTGAAGCCTCCCTAAAATAGGCCTAATGACGCCCATGGATATCACACTGGTACATACAGTAAATAAAAGAATTGACTCAAAATCGATACGTAGATTTTAGTGCATAGATTATCAAATAATAGTCATCAGTAAAAAATAAAATGTATGTCCACATATTTATTTATGTCTCTCTCAAGGTTGATATCGATCATTGAGGCAAATTGGCAATTTTGCACTGTCCTGTATAATGTAAATGAGATTGGCTGTTTTTGTCCATTTCATCCTCGCCTCCACTAGAGGACGTCAGAGCGACACAGATGACGAATAAGGTGTCAGTATGCGGCAGCATATAAAATAATAGAATTCCACCAGGTTCCACGTGCGTGACGTCATCGTCCGATTCGTTTGTTTCTCTCTTTTATGGCATGTTGTTGTTGCATCGTCATGACCGCGACGTGATGATGGAGCCGCACATACGTCGCACGTGGTCTTCATAGATAGGATTTTTTTCGCCCCTTTTTCAATGGTGATGATCATGTGACCGTGATGGTTCCGCCCAGAACAACTTCAGCATGTGTTGACATTCCGGTACAGTACAGTGCCATTTTATTTTAGGGGTCGGGGGGGTGCGGATTTATGGGTGGCTAATTCTTCTGCAGCTTTAACAGATCTGCGCCGTTTCTTTCTTCAGCGCGGCGTGTTTGGCTGGCCTGCTAGTATTGTTCCGGGATGGACGTGTCGTGCACACTGGCCGGTCCGAAACGCCGCGCACTCTGACAAGTGACACCCGAAAGCAGCGGTCCAAGATGATGTCGCTCATCGACCTGGACGACGAGCAGCGGTGGGTGCCCACGCACGTCAATGTCACCGTGCTCTGCGCCAGAGGACTGAGGACGAAGAGTAAGCATGGCAGCCGCTACCTGTACGCGGTGGTCCAGGTGGGCAAGGACAAGTACACTACGGGCCTTGTTGACAAGGCCGAGGTGCCCGTGTGGTCCGAGGAGTGCTGCTTTGAGCTCCTCCCGGGCATCCTGGAGGAGGAGATTGGAGGTGGAGGCGGCCGAGGAGCCTACCCTCCCGGCAGCGCCGACCTGGTGCTCACCATCATGCACAGAGTCCTGATTGGACTTGATGTGTTTCTGGGCCAGACAGTCATCCCGCTGGATCGCTTGTTTCGGGAAGGCGCGTGCCCCAGAGACCAGTAAGTGTTTAAACAGTGTCACGTGGTTTCCTGACAAAAGGCCCCTCGATGAAGATCTTGCTCACTTGTAGATTCACGCTTACAATGTGATATTTTGCAGCCCTTATATTACAGGTGTCAAACTCAAGGCCCGGAGGCCAGATCCGGCCCGCCACGACATTTTACGTGGCCCGCGAAAGCAAATCATGTGTGTCAAGTTCCATGATCCTTGCCAAAATCTGTACCGATGTCAAATTGTCATGTGCAATGAATAACATTGAGATTTTGCAATCATGTTGTTACCCTGTTTCCACTCACTTGAACAATAATTAAGCAAACTATTATAATTGACTGATTTCAAAACTAGTGATCCATCAATTTGTTGTGTACAAGTAATAATACGATGAGACAATTCAACATTTATAATGGCCATCCGAGGGAAGACGTAACTCCAAATTGGCCTGTGACAGAAATGAGTTTGACACCCCTGCCTTACACCAAAGCGCAACAATCTTTGAAAGCGACTTCTTTTGCACGGATTAATGGGAAGAGCTATGTGAAGGACCCGATCATGGCAATGATTTCTCACAATAATGATCTACAATGCTACAAAAAGGTAGAAAATAGGGATGGGTTAGTACTGATACCGCACTCACACATCCCTATTTTAGACCATAAAATTAAGCTGGTTTTGGCCGAAACCGATATTGTATCGGTATCGGGCTGATACTTTCCTTATTTTATGGGAGGGGTGCCCAACCAAACTCCAGGAAAGACAAAATCCCGGTGCCGTGCCTAAAGTTAACGACAACTGAGCAGTACTAATCCAGTAATTATTCATCATACCACAAGAGGGAGCCTGCATACTACACTTTGAGAATCACATTTTCAAGAACATTTTCCGATAGTTTATGAACAGTGTTTAACAAAGTGGGGAGAAGAG